CCCCGCCACCCCCCACCAAAAAAAGATGACTCGTGATCTTTTTGATCTTTTTACATTGTTAGACTTGGGGAGGTGTTTTATTCACATTCCCCAGTAACAATTTACTTGAAGTAATTTGACAAATCTTCTGTGATTATAGTAAGTGACAAAATGATACAACTAAGCGTCCCTCAATAATTTAACAGTTCCAATCTCTTGAACAGACAGGAAGAAAGATAAATACATTTCTAGTGCATTCATGTTTTCTATAGCACCTCTTTTGCTCCTAAATTGTTTACTCATTTAGTTGTTTGAGAAGGCTTCATTTCTCTCTGCCCAAGCATACTCAATAAGCTGTCTTTCTTGGTCACTTAGTGGGCCTGTGCTTGAAGAAACGGAAACCAGCAAGATACGCGGCCCAGACGGGCGCCTGTCCCTGGGTGAAGGGAGCGCAGGGCTGACTGGCGTCTCAGCAATCCCATCACGCATCTGTCAGAGGGAGAGTTAATTTAACAGAGCGCAGGTAGAAATCTACTTAATTAGGGGAGTTGCCTGTAACTTTGAATTCGTTTCTCTGGTGGTTATTTCTTAGCTCTCTTTTGTCTTAGACAAATGAAAGGAACCAAAGGCCAAATCACTGGCGAAGCAGCTTTTAGAAAGAAAAAGAATTTTGTGTCATTAGCGAGCACTGTGACCAGTGGACCAACAAAGGCGTGTTCCTGGCCTTAATGTCATGGACGAAGTGGTCGTGTTGGTGGTAGAGGGGCACCGACTGCCATACTGTGCTGATTGTCCTGTTTGAACTAATTGCTTGATGGCACCAAATTGCACGTTTCCTTCCTCGGACTCAAACCTAGAGAACTTCCTGTTCTTCCTTTCCTTTCTTTCTCCCCTGCTCCCTGCGTTCCTTCCCCCCTTCCTCTTTCCTTTCTTTTTTTTTTTTTAAGCATACTGTTTCCATTTTGAAAGAATGGTTTCTACTGTTTAAATCCAAACGCTTAGCATTCCTTCCAAGACGATAGATAGTCTCTTGTTGGGCGCTACCGCATTTCAATTCACTGTGACACCGTATGACAGTGAAGCCAGGGGTTCCTTGGCTGTCACCTTGACAGATGCGGATCACCACGCCTTGCCTCACAGAGTCCCTGAGTGGCTCTGAACTGCCGTCCTGTGCCAAGTGTCTCCAGGGCTCCTGGTCTCACATTTATAAGAAATGCCTGGGCAGTGTGATCCCTGACATTGACCCAGATCCCGTGTTGTTCTGAGGTCGTCTTTGAGTGATGCCCTAAGCTGTGAGTGCCACATAAATTCTCCCCCGGACCGTGCAGCTCCCTGAAATCCTAAACATCAATGTGTCTGTGTTGTGCTTCCGTGACAGCGAGTGATGAAGAGGAGGGAGCAGTGGTTTTCGACAGTGCTGGCAAGGGGGCTGCTGACCCCTTTGACTCGTCATCTGGCTCCGTGCAGCTCATTGCAATAAAGCCCACCGCTCTCCCTGTGGTGCAGCCAGCCTCGGACAGGAGTCAGGAGTCAGAAGTGCTCAATGGTGAGGTAAGGACCCGGGGACCCAGAGTCCAGCCAGGTCTCAGGGATGATGACCTTGGAGCCAGACCTCAGATTCATCAGGTGGAGCATCTGTCTATTGGATCCATCCCTGTGGGTTCTGGGCCTCCAGGGAAGGGATCAGGGCACAAATCTCCTACATGTTTGCTGGGGGATGTTTTCAGAGTATGAGGGTAAGTCAGAAGGCATTCTGCTACTTATTCACGAAACCTTGTTTTAAACAAATATATCAACATGCGAAGTCACTGTTTCTTGATGTATTTTCCATCTAGGTGGCTGCAGTCCTGAAAGCAGTGTTTCTGTCTCTCTAAACCTTAGTGGTTCTCAACCTTCCTAATGCCACTACCCTTTAATACATATAGTTCCTCATGTTGTGAGCCCCAACCAAGAAATTATTTTTGTTGCTACTTCATAACTATAATTTTGCTACTGTTATGAATCATCATGTAAATATCTGATATGCAGGATGTACTAGGCGACCCCTGTGAAAGGGTTGTTTGACCCCCAAAAGGGTCCAGACCCACAGGGTGAGAACCCCTGCTCTAAACCTTCCCTAAATAATTCTGAGCTCCTCAACAGTGTGGGCATCCCGGAGGGACTCAGATCACGTTTCTTCTCCATGTTTGTTAAGTTTCAGGACCAGAAGGAAGTCTGAGGGGGAAAGATCGGAGCTGCAGGGTGGATGGGGGGGAGGCTTCCCAATGAACTTCTCTGGACAGCCCTTGCTGGCCCCCATGCAGGAGCAAGTGCGGCGCCGTGATGAAAACATTCCTCAGCGCCACTTTTCTGGTCTTTTCTTGCCAATGCAGTTCGCAGTTTTCTAAAAATTACTTCCCAATAAGCACCCATGAAGTCCCTGTGTCCTTCGAGAAAACGGATCAAGATAACACCTTGGGGAATCTCACAAAACAGTCACCACAACCTGCTGAGCCTTAAGTCCCATGGGCCCCGCAGATCCCCTCCCAAGTCACTGCGGCCCAGCACCTGACGGAGAACTGGTCTGCAGCTGTGCGCTGATCACAGAGACGTGCTTTCACACCTGGCCGTTGCAGTCAGCCCGCCTGGTGCGAACTGGAGCTCGCCCGCATGTCCTCTACCACGGTCAGGAAGCTGAGAGGGCTCTTGCACCTTTCTTTGTGGGGCTGCCATCCTAGGTAGCTGGTGCTGCAATCATGCAAGCAGGTGGCATTAGAGAAGGGGAATTTACTTTCTCACAGTCCTGGAGGCCACAGGTCCCACTCGGGTCTCGGCTGTGTCAATTCCTCCAGGCTTGAGAGCCGATGGGCCTGGGCCTTCCTGGGCTCGTCGAGCCTCACATGGTCTCTGTCTTCCCCAGAGGCTGTGTTTGTCTCCACTCCGCTCTTTTTGTGACTCAGAAGTGAGTACACTTACCATTGACCCTCCCGTCCTCACACAGAGAGCCCTGTCTCCTCGTCTGGATGCCAGAGGCCTGACTTGAGAGGGTGCCGGAGAGGAGAATGTCATCCAGACAGGGATGTGGCCCCCCGAGAGAAGCGCAGAAACAACCTGCACCCCTTGCAATAGACTCAAAATGACCTACTGTCTGCTTCCAGGACTTCATTGTGTAGCGTGATGATAATCAAGCTGGGGGGAAAATATGTAGCAGATATCAGAGTGATGATACCATCCATGAAAAACATATGAGGTAGCCGGATAGAGAGCTAGACAGACAGGCAGAATGTTAGGAATTTGGAGGGAGAGCAAGTGGGTAGAACTTGTCAGCTCTTCCTCTACCAGCAGAGTGGCCAGAGGGCTGAAAGTGGTCATGAACCTTTAAGAACAATGCCACGCTGGTTTTCAAACTGTGTCCTGCAGATTTATGAAGTTCACTGCTCCTGAGCCCATAAGCCAATCCGCAACAATTTCCATACAACTTTAGCCGCTCCCAGGATCTGGGTTCAGAACTCTTGCCCAAGACATTTCTCAGCAGTCAGAAGTGTGGGGTCAGCAAGATGATGCGGGCCCCCAGCAACCTGAGCAGCCCGGCCCGTCCATGATCCACTTGGGCCTTCCGTAAACGACTTGTTTAATGGAGAGACGAGGGGGAGAGAAGGAGTGAGGTCCGCCGCTCTAGAGAATCAGACACACGGGGCCCAGTGTTAGTCAACACTGAGCTGTGGGAGGCAACAGAGACAGGACCATGGGCCTGGGACATACAGGGGTGATGAGGGGTCCCTTCTGAGGCCAGCGATGGGAGAAAAGAAGCTGTATAAGGCCCCCAGGGCCGTGGCAGTAGAACTGGGAACTGGAACATACGGTTGGCTTAACCTTTATATATTGGCCATGAAAGTCCTTCTAGTAGCGAGGCCCCACGGCCTAGAAGACAGAGTTTCTTTCTATTAAAACGAAAGGCTAGGTGGATTGACGGACGAAGAAAAGCAAGCAGTGTGAGCACGTAGAGCGTGAAGGTTTTGGGGAGTGAGAGAGCCACGTGAGGAAGCTCTGGGCGGAGCCCTGGAGGGGCCCTAGTGAGTGGGACAGGACACAAAGGAAGGTGGACAGGCAGCAGGCCGCACTGAAGAATGTAGTCTCAGACTACATTATTCCAGTTTCCTTCTTTCTCCTTCGGGCTTCGTGAGGAGAAAGGGAGGGGCAGGGCACCCATCCGAAGGAATGGCTAACAGTGCATCCCCACTCTGGGGGGCTTTTAAGAACCAGATGTGGGCCAAGAAGTTATAGTGAGTGTGCGGTGCTTTATGGGAGTGCAGTCATGCGTGCATGCCACCAGGCGCCTCACCCAGGTGGTGGCTCAGAATCAGCTCTGGGACTTTCTAGAGAGACAGATGCCCAGGCTCCAGGCCTGAAGACTCTGACTCAGCAGATCCACACTAAAGCCTGGGCTTGCGTATTTTTGCCACCTCTCCAGTCTACTCGAATTCACTGCCAGACGACCACAGTCCTGGCCATCCTGAAAGGCTCAGCTCTGTTGAACTTGTGTTAACCACAGTCCTTCCCCAGGCAGATGCTACCAGTCTTCAGAGCTTTGACTTTGAACCTTCCCCATTCCCTCATGATCGAATGATTTTTGTACATCATTCCAGTACTGTCTGCTAAATTCAAGAAAATGTATGCATTTATGAAATAAATAAATAAATTACCTAAATTATCTGAATAGCTGATTTGTTGACATCGCTTGTTTAACCAGCACTAGCATGCGGTACGATGTGTATCATCTGAGAGACAGTTACAAAATGTTTTCGTCGTTGCCAATGCCAAAAAATTCCATTGTTCATTAAGTCCAAACAATGGTGGTCGAATTCTAACAACTGATCAACAATGCGAACTTTGATAAGCAGTTCTCGATCATCAGTTCTCAACAATTATTTGTTATTATTAAAGTTTTAACATTATAAAATTAACAAAAATAATATAAAACTCCTATCCTGGCGAAATAGCCACACGGCAGCCGAAAACCGTATATTCCCTTCCCGTTCTCCCACTGTTCCCTAGCTTGTCATGCATTCTTTCCAAAAATCAGGACTTTTTTAAAACGCTGCAGGACGCGGGACAAATTGTTAAAAATCGGCACTGTCCCGCCAAAAGCGAGATGTCTGGTCACCTTATGTTAGGTAGAAGTAATTTCCACACTTCCCAGACTTTTGGCGATTGCCCCTTAACCTGACACTACCCAATGATGTCCACCCTGTGTATGCTCTCTGCACTGTACATGATTATACAAAGTTGGGCCTGACGGCACAGAGCACTAATGGTTCTCCCTGTCATCTGTAGGTACCAGGTAGATTTCGCCACACAGTTCCATTTGTGGGAGCAAATTTCTCATCATTTGTTATTTGGATGGCATAATAATCTACTTATAGCTTTGACATGCTGTAGCGTACGTTTCCCATATGCCTCTGAGAGGCCAGACTGAGCTTTGCCCTGTCAAGCAGGATCCGGAGCGTTTTGATGGTCATGAAAGATTTTAAACTGGCCTGTCTCTCAATAAAAGCTTGAATGGACAAAATAAACTGTCAAATCAGGCGGGGATTGGGGGGAGGCCTCCTGGTCAAGTGCCTGCTATCCCTTCTGGCCTCATTCATCTTACCCAACCCTTTTGGGAGCAGGCTGTCTTATCGAGTCAGGCACCAGCTAAATGGCCAGGGAGGGCCCTGGGGTTCTTTAGAGTAGGGGCATCAGGAGCTTCCTGAGATGGCAAACCAGAGGTTTCCAAACAGGGACAGAAGCAGGGACCCAAAGGACATAGGCAAGGTTAAGGCCAACGTCGGCCACTAAGCTAAGAGCTTGGAGCCGTGTCTAGCCCTTGCAGGGTCAGGCAGACTGAGGAGAAAGAGGCCCAGATAGAAGATCCCGGTGTCTTGGGGAGCACCAGTCTCCTGGGTTGGCTTGATGGACCCAAAGGACCAGAGGTTAAGCTGGCTTTTCCAGGACTGCAACCCTCTGAGGAAAGCCTCACACCTGGCAGCCCTGCTGAGCGAGGTGTGCACACCTTGCTTGAGTTACTCTACAATTAAGAATTGTAGTTTCAGAATCTTTTTTGATTCTAAATAATGAGGTGTTCATGGTCTGGGCTATGCGCCTGAGACGGTCTCTCTCCTCCGTAGGTGAACAAAGCCCTGAAGCAGAAGTCGGACATCGAGCACTACCGGAACAAGCTGCGCCTCAAAGCTAAGCGGAAGGGGTATTATGACTTCCCGCCCGTGGAGACCAGCAAGGGTCTGACCGAAAGGAAGAAGATGTATGAAAAAGCCCCAAAGGAAATCGACCACATTTTGGATCCAGATGCAGAACTCTGCGCCCCGTTCACTGAGGCTAAAAACAGGTGGGGTGTGGAAGAGACACGCTCGTGTGTGCTGTGTGGCTGGGGGGAGGCGCGCGCGGAGGACTCGGGCGAGGGCAGTCCGGTCCTTGATCTGTTGATTGCCGAGGGCAGTGATCCTTGCAGGCTGCCTCTCTGTGGAAGCAGATGCTCATCATGAGACCAGGGAGAAACACACTGAAGCCATTAGGGGGGGAAATGCTCCTGCAAACAGCCATCATTGTACGGCGTAGTTAGGTTTTGTTTTTAACCCAGTAGCTGTTTAAGGGCCTAGAGAAGCTATAATGATCACTTATCCTGTGTTTTGTTTGTTTGATGGGTCAACTGTTTGCGGTTGTTTTATTTTCAAATTCCAGATCAAAGGGCGTTGTGGGGTGTTTTTGTTTTTTAATTGTCTCCATGGCACTCCAGAGGATAAGCAAACTTATGCTTTAAGTTTCCCTGCAGCCTCAGTTAAGTAGTTACTACGCAGCTACTCAGAGCTCCGTGCGTGGTCGTTGCTTTCATTCATAGATTTGGGCATTTCCTCGGCATTGCCACCAGGTGTGTATTAGGCACTGAGCAAGGGGCTGAATCTGTCCTGGCCACGTGGGCCTTTTCTCATTCATTCATTCATTCCACAGTTATAGTGGGCAGGCCAGACCCGTGCTCTGTGGAGCGTACGGTCTCGTGGAAGACAAGGTTCATCATCAGCCCCCGGGTTTGCTCATCGCAAGGGCAGTGGATGTTTAATGGAGAGTGTGCCCTTCTATGACAGCTGGAACGGGAGGCCTGTTCATCAAAAAGTTAAACATAGAATGGCTTTGCTGGTAATAGTTAGGAAAATCGATTCACTTCTGATTCCTGGTGTCCCGAGTACACAGCGTGGAACTTCATGGCTGCGACCTCTCCGAAGCAGATTGCCGGTTTGTCTTCTGAGGCCCCTCTGGGGGAGTTCAGACTGCCCATCTTTTGTATGCCAGTCAAGCACTTAACATTTATATCACACTGGGACCCCCCAAATTACCAGGCCTCCATCAGCCTCTGCTACTGAGGTGGTTCTGACTCATAGCAATGCTATAAGATGAAGTACATCTGCCCCTTTCTATTTCCAAGCCTATCAGTCTTTACTGGAGCACAAAGCCTCATCTTTCTCTCTTGGAGTGACTGGTGGGTTCGAACTACTGACCAGGGCTCCTTAGAATGACCAGTTGATCCAACAGTTCCAAACACTCCAAAGGTTTGAAAGTGCTATTCCCAATAAACCGAAAGATTTATTAAGACATAAACCTATCTACCAAGAGATGCATGTATAAACAAATCGTGGTCTACCCATACAGTGGAGTATTTCCTAGCCGTAAAGAGAAATTAAGTTTGAATACATGCTGGGGAATCACTGAGCCTCAGCAACATGCAGACTGAAATAAGCCAGACACAAAGGACACAAATGCCCTCACGTACGTGGACCACTAGAAGAGGCACGTGCACAGAGACAGCAGTTTCTTAGTGGTTCCTCCGGGCTGAGGAGAGGAAGAAATGAGAGCATTGTTGTACGGGCACTGACTTTCCCTGGAGGGTGATGAAAAACGTGGAAATAGTGGTGCTGGCTCACACTGTGGAGAATGTAATTGGTGTCACTGAATTATACATTTAAAAGTAGTTTAAAATGGTAAATACTTTGCTATATATGTTTTATCCCAATAATATTTTTGAAGGGGGGCTGGTCTAGTGAGGAAGGGGTTGGCCAGGTGGCTCGGTTGGCCTCCTTCCGGGCCTCGCTGTTGACTAAGCTGAGAGAGACCTCATGAGGGAAGGGTGTAGGTTTACAGAGTCCAATGTGCCCACCTTTCTTCCTCCCCCACCTGGAGCACTTCCTGAGATGCATTCTCATGGTTTGACACCACCTCTTTCAAACATACCCCCTCCTTGGCAACAGCCTCTCGGCTTTGAGCAGCTCCATCCTGGCACGCAGCCGTGGCAGGCACATCCTACACAGACCGGGGCAGCAGGCTAGTTCCTGTGTTTATGAAAGCCGAAAATGGCCATGTGGCGGGCTTGGATAGCAGGCACAATATCACGCTGGGAGACGGGGTGGGGGGGTGGGGTATCGTTGGGGAAGAGAGGGGGTGGGAGGGAAGTGGACCGTATGCTGCCAGAGGGGACAGCACCAGAATGGCCCCAGGGTCTGTGGTACCAGTGGTGGTGACAGTTAGGCCAGTGCTACTGGAGGAGAGGCCACCCAGGCAGGGGCATCACTAAGGTTGGTGTCCCCTGTCACCCCGTGTGGTAACTTGTTACCGCCACCCTCATCGCTGGCCAGGCAGAAGGGTCTCTGTCTTGGCCAATGGAAGAAGAGGGCAACTGGGAGGAGTCACAGAGGTTGAGCAAGGGCCAAGCCGCTTCACCCACAGGGCCAAGTTGTGTGTGTGTGTGTGTGTGTCAGTGTCACCATGAGTTCCCACACTGGGTGACACCAAATCTCACAATACCACTGCTGAGGGTACATTTTATGAATGGAATCAGCATCACATTTTTTTTTTTTTTTTAAAGAAAGAAAGGAGAAAAATCCCAGGCCGGGCTCCATTCACCCTGCTTCTGATTAGGCTCAGCCGCACGAGAAGCCACAGAGATAGAATTGCACCATGCCACAGTTCAGAGTGCTTGTGTCCACGCATTAAAGAAAAGCTAGGGGGTTTCTGAGGGAAGCGGGTGGCTTCATTCGCTTTTACTTTGCATTGTGGGAGTTTTTACTTCCTTGGTAGACTTCGATGAGTTGTTTTCTGTGGGCTTCCTACTGGCACTTGGGGAAGAAAATCAGAGCTGATGTACCAAGAAGAGGGACTTCGTTTGGAAGTTCTTCGAGGACTAAATTGAACTTGTGGTGAAGACTTTCCTATGAAGGATGAAGAACACGCTCTTTTCAGTAGTGGTGTCTCCCACTGCAAGGGGACAGGCCAGATTTTAGGGCCCTTCGTATTGCCCTGGGGTTTGTTTTGGTTGATGTTCAGTGGTACATCACCCAGCCTCTCTTCCTAGCCCATCTTAGTCTTGAAGCTACACTGACACCTGTTGGGCATTACAGCAACACAGTGACAAATGGGTGGTGGCCACCCATGAAGAACTATATTATCCCTACCTCATGAGCTGAGCCGAAGCCTTCCATTTAGAAGGTCAGAATTCCACCATGGAACCAATGTCACCTGATTTCTCAGTAAATATCTGTTGAGAAAAAGAATGGAATGTTTCTGACACACCAAGAGCAATGTGAAGGAAACCATTTTGACCACTTGCAGGAAGATCATAGATCGTCACCATCGGACGGAGATGAGGGAAGGATCAGTACGAAATGGGGACAGAGCGGAAAGACAGACCGACAGAAGAAGAGTGACGGAACCAGTTAGCTCGAGGGTGTTTTTCATGATGTACTTCCTGCTTTTGCCATACCGCCAGCAGTTGGTTATCACAGATGAGCTACCTGTTCATTGACGTTCACAGTTCAAATGTCCAAAGGTTATGTTCAAGTGAACAAATGATTCTCTTGTCTAGACGTAGCATTACCCAAACCCTCTGCCACTGAGTTGATTCCAACTCTCAGTGACCCTCTCTAGGGTTTCCAAAGCTTTATGGGAGCAGACACCTTCAACTTTCTCCTAGGGCAGCTAGTGAGTTTGAACTGCCAACCTGGCAGCTAGCAGGCCAATGCTTACCTCACAGCATCACCAAGGCCCCTTGTTGTTAGGTACCATCGAGTTGGTTCCAACCCATAGCAGCACTAGGTACAACAGAATGAAACACTGCCCGGTCCTGCGCCATCCCCACACTTGTCCTTATGCTGAGCCCATTGTTGCAGCCACTGTGTCCGTCCATCTTGTCCGGGCCGTCCTCTTTTTCGCTGCCCCTCTACTTTTCCAAGCACGATGTCCTTCTCCAGGGACTGGTCTCTCCAGACAGCATGTCCAAAGTATGTGAGACAAAGTCTCACCATCCTTGCCTCTAAGGAACGGTCTGGCTTTACTTCTTCCGAGACACATATTTTTGTTCTTTCAGTAGTCCGTGGCACTTTGCCAACATTCTCATGCACGTAGGCAATGGAAAATACCAGGGCTTGGGTCAGGCACACCTTAGTTCTCAAAACAACATTCTTGCTTTACAACACTTAGAAGAGGTCTTGTGCCGTAGATTTGCCCAATTTTATGAGTTGTTTCATCTCTTGACTACTGCTTCCATGAGCATTGATTGTGCATGCAAACAAGATGAAATCCTTGACAACTTTAATCTTGTCTCCATTTATCTTCCTATTGCCTCTCGGTCCATTTGGGAGGATTTGGGTCTTCTTTACATTGAGTTGGAGTCCATACTGAGGACTGCGATCCTTGATCTTCATCAGCAAGTGCCTCAAGTCCTCCTCACTGTCAGCAAGCAAGGTGGTGTCATAGAGGGAGCATTGAAAAAATAATAATGACTTGTTGCTATTGAGTTGATTCCGACTCATAATGACTCCCTAGAACAGGGTAGAAGGACCACAGTGGGTTTCCAAGATGATAGCTCTTTCCAGGAGTAGAAGGCCTCGCTTTCTCCCGGGGAGTAACTGGTAGTTTCAAACTGTTGACCTTGTTAGTCATCCAACATGTAACCCACTACATCACCAGGGCTCCTTAGAGGTAGTATAAGAATCATAACTTTACCCTAAGAGCCAAATCAAATCAGATCAAAGTTAAACTTCCAAATTCCAACTCATCACTAAACTTTCTTAATAGTTTTCCCACTTTGTTTTAATCAGAAGACCACTCTCATTTTTATGCTGTGCACTCTTACCCAGAGACACAAGGTATATGATATAACTGAAGCACACATTGTCAGCACCCTCCCCCACCTCCATCCTGTGTCCCTGCTCCCATAAGGCTAGCAGCTTCCTAGTGGAGACACTTGGAATCATGACTTGAAGATTTTGCCTGGCATCCACTGATGCCAAGGGCCTAGGAGCTACCACGTGCTCTGCAGCAGCCTCAGTCAATGACAGATGG